GCAAATCCATACAGAATCGTGTGATATCGGAAGTTTCTCATGGAAATCACTGACATACGGCTTACATTCCGGATCATCTGCTTGTGCATTCTTAAGCATTATAAAATGAATGACCATTTTTCTCGCAAAAATCTCATATGCAACAACTGATATCACAAGAAAACTGTTTTCTGAAAACGTCATTGCTGTTCATCGCATTTGCTAGACTGGCAAAATCCTATTTCCTTATCGCCAACAAAAAGCCAACGGTTTTTGTTGAGGTATTCCTTTCTAACCAACAGCGAGAACGCCAGTTCCGCATTTTCTTAAGACATGTACGCAGTCTTGAATACGGTATTAGTTAGCTCTTCACTCTAAAATTGCCTCATAAACGTGGTCAGCGTTCTACACACCAACTACAAACACCGTTAATTGATTATTCTAGCAGTGAAAATGCCGACTGAGTCCATTCATTTGACCCATTTTGGGGCTGTATTGTTCTTCGGTACCGCAAATTATGCCTTTGTCCCAGTCAATCCCTGCAACAGAGTTCAGTAAAACTAGTCAAATTGGACGGGGTGCAAAATGTCAATTGGGACTAAAACTCCACTTTCTATGGAGTTTGACTTTTTCTTCGATGATTCGCAAGGAATGTAGCCCTAGACAGCCAATAACCTGATACATTCTCTTACTTCATAGGTGCTGATATGGGAGAAAACACTTCATTTTGTCTAGTATGGAAAATACAATACACAATCAGAACTCATCAATCTTGTTCAGGTGAACTATCAATTCAGAGGTAGTTATTGTAGATATTGTCGAACGTTCTAAATATAACCCATGTTTATCAAATCGGTAAACTGATAAGCATACACCTTCTTATCCTTTGTCCAGCCCATCGAGAACATTGCACTGACCAATTGGGATCGATCGATTGACATTTGCTCAAACGGAAGTTACTGAAAACCCCAACACTTGCCATGTCAAATAATGAAGCATTCCTTGAGGAGCAGTTTGTTTTCTTAGATCAATCAAACGAACTTCGAGCGGTTGTTGATTCATGGCACGAGTAAAATTCATCATCCACAATCTTGTCCACGTTTATTGGAATCAATTTACCCAGAGAAATGAAGAGCAAACTCACGTGACATTCTGGGGATCATCAACAGGGAAATATCTGAAATCATGCGTTTCGATTATTATTTTTCTCTCAAATGGTTGTCACTATTTGTCCCGTGTGTCCCGGTTCTTTTGTTCTACCTCAACTGACACTTGAACCATCGAGGTTTACATTTGTCACAAACGGTTTTCGCTCAACTTCATTGACAGTGGATTGGTGTGTTTAGCAACCGGGAATTTTTCTTTCGGATCTGATCTGTGCAGCTCATCACCAGGAGGCAGAGTATGTTGAATAAAGCCCCGAACACGAGAAGACAACTGCTGCATAAAATGGTTGCATAATTCTGCTTTTTGTTGCATCCATCTGTTCTTGCTATCATGACAGCTATCGTTATAACCTATAGTTTATTCTACTCGCAGAGGAGATAACTGATTTATAATGAACAATCTATGATAAAAAGGATTGGATGGAGTTGTACTAAACGTTTTTGTCTTCACATGACACTATCACGTTGATCCAACGAATGCCAGTTCAGTCAATCTGATACGAACTTGCAACCGGTCCCGCCCACAATTTACGAACAAGTACAAAAGAACAATATGAGAACTTTTTCTCCGTGTTTGGGATTGTCTGAAACTGCCAACATTTCATGTTTAAAAGTCTGGTCAAAAAGTGGTGTAATGACCAAAACATGCATTTTATGGTCTGGGGTGCTTTGAAGATTTTCATTCCCTAAGTTTGTGAACCGTTCACCCCAAATTATAACTTCAGCCGTTTTATTCTTTTGGGTTAGTAAAAATCCCTCAATGGTAAAACGTTGATAATTTTTGTATAGAACTGTGGAATAGAGCTTCCAATCAGCCATTCGTCTGAGAAGTGTATTCAGAAGAGTAGAAAGACAATATTGAGAAATGATGAAGAGAAAAAAAATTGGAAGGAAACCCTCTTATTAATCAAAGTGTGCTATTGATTCTTAATCGAATCTGTGTGCAAATTGATTTGGAGTGCAAATAAGCCTGTTTTCTTTTCCATTCAGAAACTTCATTTACAAAGTCTCCGATAGTGGCACCATCGTATGGTCACATAACAGAACGATGGTTGTATGCATTTAGTCAACAGATCTTTTTGATATTCTCAGCGCCGTCGTATGCAAGAAAAATGGATATAACTGAATATTCTGACTCAAAAACTGACTGTAAAATGAATGATCCTCTCTCTAATACTGGAACGATTATCAGAAACTAAAGTGAAAATACATCTCAATGGTAAAATTAAATGCCTAAAATGTGCTCGTTAATCAACTGACTGATTTCTTTTGTGTGTAGGCACATGAAGATTTGCGCACCGAAGGGAAATCTAAGCACTACGGGACTTGTGTATTGATTACACAATGCTGAAAATACCATGGGAGTAAGATATGGCTGTCTTAACTGACCAACCCAGGACTCGTCAACAACACACATCTATCGAAAAGAATGCAAATGTAACTAGGGGCTGGTAATCTGCAACTCCAATCAAATGGGATATCCGGTCAGTAGTTTTCTTCCACTGAACGCTGTATACTATAGCACTAACCTGGTCTTGTCTCCGAATGTATTCGATGTCACTAGATGGTAAAGAATACAGACACCAACTATGCGGTAAATCTTGAAAGAAAAACCAGTTACGGAATGGCCAACGGTGAGGCATTAGACAACCGTTCTATTCCCAAGTGAGATTTTTGGTTCTCTACGTGTACTGGACGTGAGAGCTATCCAGGGTAAATCTGCATTCCTTTTTGTCGAGTAAATGCCTAACAAACTGTCAGTTTTACGAAAAACGTCTAAAAATATTTTCAGTTATTCATAGAAGAGAACCTCTTGTGAAAATAACCGGCACGTTTTCAAGCTGCGCTAAAACTTTTGTAAACTATGATGAGATTTTTTAAATTTGTAGAACTGAACAAACAATTGCATATCATTTACATTAAAAATTCACTCATTTTCGTTTTGGTAAATGACAAAAAGGATTTTAGTAACTAGCTTTGTTAAGGAGGAAATTGAGTGATTCAGGCATTAGATACGTGATATTTAAATTACATTCGATGTCAGCAATGTTAAGCCTTATTATTCACCTCTTTATCGTAGTTGACACTTTACCTGATGATTAAATAATATTCACTAGGCAAAATACCATTTATTTTTGTGTCCGTCATTACATTTCCAGCTTGGTACCCACCCACTAGGCAACAATGTATTGGACGCCAATTCTCCCCTCCCCTTTCTCCAGATCGTAATGTGTATCTTGCTTGGCATTTTATTCCATGCCTAAATATATATACTCACGAAAATGGTGATTGAAGGTGAGAACTTGCTTGGCATTAGTGCACAAGGTGGAACCATTTTATCAAGTATACACACACATTCAAGCATAATTCGCATTATGACATAACCATATATCAAANATGTATGTCAACCCAAAATTTTGCTAAGCGATCCACGGAACATGTTTATACACAAAGTATTTTCTGAATGAATCGAAATAAATATTCCCCAATAATAATTTTTTTCTGTTTAATTTTGCCTTCATTAAATAGTTCAGGCTGAAATCTAATTTGTCGCTCAGTTGAACTGCGATAATTATCTGCCCATTCCAATGCTCCTCATTCTTTACTAACCACACTGGGTAAATTTCGAACAAATACATCAGATCAATACACTCACATATTCTAACACTCAGTTATGTTAAAATTCCTCAATCAGATGTCTTGAACGTCATACAANNNATACAAGGTTTTCTGTCCGCCGGTGATCAATAATCAAACATGTGTTCCTTATTCCTTTGACTGTGGGAGGTGCACCTTCATGCTCTTTAAATGTTCGATGAAAAGATTGCTCTCGTACACCACTCACTGTCAAACAGCCAAACACCCCCAGTTTTGTTGTTAAAAGTACTAAGCAATCTGAATTGCATAAGATAGAGTATTCATCGTTCTTTGGAAATAAATTCCTCTGGTTCAGACATGGTACATTTTACATCCATTATTTTTTCAATTTCGGTATGCCTCGTTGTTAATATTATTGCCTCTTTAATGTATTCAAGAATTTTGTGAATCAAAGCCACACGATGTTCAAACTATTTTCGAGAGTAATTCAAATACGATTACACCATATGAATGCTTAAATCAGTTTGTCTTAGTCTCCAAAATATCCGCCCCCCCGGCACAGTGTGATATGACCCCACCTTGAGATCGCTGGATTTTACGCGTCTTAACTGTTGATTGTGGTGGGAGAGAACTAGACTCCCGTCCTAATCTAACCATCAAGCTTATAGTTCTTTTGGGCTTCTGTATCCGCAGTGTGTCACATTGATACTTCAGACGACTGCAGTCATCACTCACTCTTATAGGTGCCTCTATCCCGTTCCTGGCACCTTTGAAACAGTTGCACTCCATTCCTCAGTCATGTTACGCCCGTCCTCGTTCGGTTCAAACGTATTGGTGCAAATCTGTGCATATGGTCATGCGATCCCTATCGCCCACGCATCACGCAACACCTACCACGAACAGAACGCCACGTTACATCCGATCACGACATTGCACATTTCCACATTTTGATATCCTCTACGTTTTTGTGTTAACTACAGTGGGTGCTTCTCGGCTTTCCAACAAGCCGACTGAACCAAAACGCCAACTACCACGCGCCCCATTGCCGTTGTATTGGTACATGTTCCACCACATGTGCGTGCATCCATTTGTGTGTACATGCTTTCTGGGTGCAGATCACGCAGCCTGGAGACTGGATCAGACAAGGACATTCACATGATCAACAATAAACCAATCAGGGGCCTGGATAAATCTCTTAAGCTCTGAAATCAGCAAAACACACAGGTGGCTCACAGTAAGTTTGAACTGGCAGTCAGCATGCAATTGCTCGAGTTCTGCCTGACTATCCTGGCAATATGCGGCTACCTGCTCCGACCAAGTTTGTGCGTGGAAAAGGCGAAAGTGAGTTTTATCCATTCAACCGAAGCCCTGACCGACTGTATGCTACACATTTACCTGTTCGCATAGGATCTGTCCTGGTATTTGGCTCACGAACATGAAATGTCTGTTGGTGGTAGTTTGCTGGATCGGGGACCATTTGAACTTAGTCCAACGGATGTTAAGTACGGGGTGAGCCAGTTTCAGCGACTGAGTCGTCTCACGTGACCTACAGGGCACTGCTACGACGAATTATCCAACGGATCGATCACAATAAGGATAAAAAGATCACTCCGAACGAACTGTACACGTGGATCAACTATGTGGCAGATACCGTGACTCGACGGAACACAATACGAAGCTGGTTACGTCTGAATCCGCTACGAGAAAAGAAGCTTACTTGGCAAACCTATGTGACCAATTCCTATGGATTACAAAATAGTAAGTTCTGCAGTGTACTCGGTACTCGGGTGGTTACTTTTACTTTAGATTAAGATTAACGTAAATGACCTGTGAAGATGAGCATGAACAATCAATGATACATGAAAAGTGTTTCTTAAGTCCCAGTTGGGTACTTAGCATAAACTGAGCATTTCATGATGTAAAATAACCACCCCATACAGACATGGACATAGAGTAAAGAAAATCTTTAGGATAGACCAGTTTGGAGAATAAAAGTTCAAGTTTTTCGTTTCAAAAATTCTATAGTCACTAACTAATTTACAAAAATACGTTAGTTTATTTTGTAACAATAGTGATGATTTTATATTTGTCCGTTGTTGGAGTTCTTAGACCCCTTTTATCCGTGTACATCTGACTCAAATTTTCACCATACAAGCTGTATCTCTGTGTGCTACTGGTTTAGTGGATTGGAAAATAGAACAATATAAAATCAATGAACTGCTCTCGCAGCAGGCAATTTCCCATGTGATTCATATTGAATTATTGGTGGATCCTCGGTTCCCAATGCAATGATAGCATTAAAATGCTCCCCTTGTTTTTTCCGTATTGCGTTTATCAGAGTAAAGTTGGGCCAACTGAACTGTGGCTATATTCATTCGATAAGCTGCACATCACACTTAATACTGTAATAAGTGGATTCGGGTTTTCACTTAGGTTTTGATGAAAAGAAAAACTTTCGAACGCACACACATTCCCGTGGTTAACGAGTAAGGATGAAAAATTATGGTTAACATTCCAATGCCAGACATCATCAATGGGTTGGAAGGCTCGGGCACTAAATTGATGCTGTTGCTCAAGAGGTTCAGAATTGGCATTGCTTGTTTGACTGCTAGCAACTCAAATTTTGGTCAAAATACCGTTCTCGTTTGTTTTGTATTTTGTTTCACTGACTGGTTGCCACAACTTATTCTCGCTCAAAAATGAGATTAAATTTATGCTCCAAGAGATCATGGATGGGCTTCTTGGATATCAATTGCAAAACGTTCAAAATCAAGGTCTCCTCAATCAGATAATTCAATGTTAGATGAAGTTGAGTCAGTGAACTTATAAGGAATTTAGTGTATTGAAGTTAAATTCGTCAAACATATAGAGCCCAAGTGTACCATTTATTTCTATACTTATTCAACAGTAGGTGATTCATTTGAAAAACGGTAAAATTGTTCTGAAAGATTTTGAAAAAAATGGCATACAATTGGCAAACTGATGTGATTATTTCATCTGTCAGATAATCCATTTGCAATGAACATCAACTTTCAAGTCCAGAATATGAAATAATACAAATAGTTCAAGGTTATTTCCCAACCCAGTGCATCTATACCAAATAAGAGCAATATTTCCTATTTAGTGCGCATATTCAGTGTGTACCGCAGACCTATTGCGGCTGACTCGTCAGCCCATCTTTCACGTTAGTAGCCTGATTGTTTGTTTTTCATGTTCTAGACATGTTATTCCTTCGCTCCACTGTACGTTGTGTGAATAGCGCTACAAATTCACACCCTAAGGTGTATAAAGGATATATCTGGACTTGACTAGAACGGGTTTTGAGATAATTTTGCCCCATTGAGCCCCACACAATAATTACCAGATGTGATGTTCGGAAGTTGAATTCCTTTTGCTCGCTGGTGCGGGCGCGCGAGTGTGTGAACGCATTTTGTATGCACAAGTTGGCCTGAAAAAAAACTATTCCCAAACACCAATTTTTCTTTAACACATTCTGCCTTCGGTAATTTACACGGCTATACATTGTCGGAAATTTCCCCTGAGGTGAGAACAAATGCTAAGTTGTCGTATTACAGGTGCGTGAAACAAATGTTGTCCTGTATAGATGTCAAGACTGCTTTCAAATGTTTACCGTTCAGTAAGTACAATCGGTAATTTCGTTGGCATTCACCCCAGTTTCAGTCGCTGTCTTTTGATTAGAAAGCCAACAAGAAATGGATTCAGTGTGTAATTGATAGGTTAGTTGAAATTTCGAAATAGGCCCATACTCGCAATTAGAACACAATTTCAGGAGAACAACATTTGTCATGAAGAAAAAACCTAGGGGTTGGGTGGAGAACATTAACATGTGAGAACTCTCGCTTTGTGCATATATGTGCGTTGCACACCGCATTCTCAGATCTGTGCTTCCGGGGTTTTCAGTTATGTCACGTTGGTCGTGTAACCCAGTTCTGAGGGATCGGTGTTGTTGTGTGAAAATTTGTGTGTGTAGAAAAGAGGTAAGGGTGGATTCAGGAACCCAGGGTAGAAGAGGAGCTTGGATAAGACAGTACTGAGCACATAATTCAGGGGTCAAATGTCTAATATAGATGGCATCGGCTATGGCCAACGTACGCATTCTAACATATTTAGACGGGTTCGGGGTAACCTGGTAAATAATACAAATTGCTTCACTCGGGTTAACATGACGGTAAGTGTCTACCAAGTGGGCGAGAACTGCACCTGCGATAGATCCAAAACAACCATGAGTCAACCAGTGTGGATGGTGTTTTTTATACTACCGGGACTGGCATTTATTGAGTGCCATACGACCGACGTAAGGTACGTCACAAACGCATCTGAACGAGTGAAGCGGTCAACATAAGTTATTTGAGTGGACGGAANTTAGTAAGTGTGAAACATGTACATCTATTAGTAAGGTAAGTAAACCCAAGATATTCCGCCACGTCACCGAATGTCTGCAACTATTGATTAAATTGATCCCAGAAATAGTTCCAACCAGGCCCAAAGCCTCTCACAGAATTGATACCGACTGATGCAGTTTGATAGCCTATCGTCATGAAAAATCATACAAATTAATGGCGCATGAAGGCTCATCATTAAAGTTATCACAACTCACAGGTGGGTGATTATCTTTCTTGACAGAATGTAGATACTTCTATCCCGAAAACCGGGAAGATGATTAGGATTTTTTGATGGTATGAGAACTGATAACCACGCTATGTCGATTAGTTTGTAGATAAGAAAAGAGGATTTGAATCGATAATCCAAAAGAGATGTGCAACACAGCATGAGCGGCTTTTTGCTTCATTCAGCTTGTTCTGGGGCAGCGGTGAAGCTATAAAATCATCTTTATGCGGAGCAAAGTATTATTTTATTAAGTTATTCACTTCTGATTTTTCCTCTAAAAATGAAATTAATTCAAATCCGTGTCTTCAGTTCGTTTTGATGAATAAATGCAAAGTTATCGGAGTCCTACCGACAAAGGGAGAAAACAGTTGACTAGTTCGGCGGTAAACTGTTTTTCCAACCGAAAAACAGAGTAACAGAGTAACAGATAAATCTATAAATATCATCCAAGGGGGTAAACACAACGGTTCAGTACAAAAAGTTTCCAAATGTCCTGTCATTTGGGTCTTCAGGACACTGCACTGGAGGTCCGGATTCCCAAAATAAATGACTGTACCGAAGAGGGTTAAAGATTGCCAGAAATACGGCGGTAGAAAGTTAGGTGTTGTAGATCAGGAAGCTCTTGTGTTGGAGCCGGCCGAAAATATAGATTAAATCAAGTGATATATTCTTTATGTGTAGCGGTTGGGAAGATTTTATCTGTTCATGAAAGTAAATTATTGTGGCAGAATAAACTAGAGAAAAACTTTGAGAACCATGTGCAGCTATTTCCTAATTTTCGGAAATCTTTAATAGGGTCTATCGACCGAATGCACTGGGATTCCAATCCGAGCACAGAACTTGTGAAGCATGCATGCCCATCCAGGTTCTCTCTCCCAACCAATAATACATGGCAGCACTTGTCACTATCGCTGGAAAATCAAAACCCTGCCCGACGGTAATCGGCGTCGTGATGTACGACTTTAATAGTGCCATAGACATTGAGAAATCCTATAACCTCACTATACAATAACTCATTCAACGCAGTGCGAGTTGGGCCGCAAATGTGGGTCCAGAAAAGTAGCCTTTTTCTTTAAAGTGCTACCCTAAGGTGCTCTTTTTAACCTTGCGAAAACATGTTTTCAAACTGAAACTAGGTCACGGATGCGCGTTTATTCAATGATATTCTTTGACCCATGGTCAAAGTGTCATTAGTTCGTTGAATCGCATCGAAAACAGTTGATTTTTCACATTGTTGTTTGTCCGATTATGAGATTGTGACAAGTTCTTTAGTCTCGGTGGGATTTGAATACACGCCACTGTTTAATTTCAGATCAACGGGTGATTTCCCTGATTGCCAAGTGTACGTACACACGTATGCTCTACTTAAAAAATCACTGCCTTTTGATATTCAAGAGCTAGGCAAAGATTTCAAGGGAAAAAATATGAAAGAAATAAATGAATGCTAAATGAACCCCGGTTGCAAAAACGTTTTGAAAATTATATAATCATCGTGATTTACCTTAGGACGTTTTCTACCGTATTGTTTCATCGATCAGTTGTGAGATAATCGATAGTACTCAACATAGTGCTAGAGGATGGAGTTATACTTGAAATACAAAATATCGATTTATAAACCACGAAGCATAAAAAAAGCACTGCCCATAATGTTCTTTTTTCGCATTCAACAATTGGAGTGCAAATCTGTTTTTTCCCGAGCGTGAGAGACAGATGGCCAGATTGAATTTGACGAAGGTTTAATGGTTGCTCGCAATTTGGTTAGTGTTTCTGCTGCATTGATTTATGGCTGGCATACGAAGCGAATTCCCAATACCTGTGTGATGCATTTACAGTCCTCCTGGGAAACTGACCGTTCATTACCGGTACCTGAATGAAAACAATTCATCTAAAACAAAGTGTGTTTATTGCATTTACTTTAGCGGCATAGATTTTGGTCCATAATTCGGACTGCTTGGAGAATTTTAATCAAAGGAAGAAATGTTCCAATGAATGGCGCACATCATTTTGTGGTTGAACAGACCATTAAACATTTTGGAAAAAAATTGGAGTAATGGGGATTCCCCGCAAAGGTTTTCTCAATTTGATTAGATGTTTGAATGCAAAGATGTTGAAAAATACAGAGGTCTATTTATCTGAATAATTTCACGAATAGGTATCTACTGCAAAACCATTTGTCGCTTGATTGGAAACCCTGGTTTGCTTATATCCTACCTCAAGCAATATTGTAATGTATCGTAACGCCCGTTTCAAGGATTCAAACCTTCCGGCCACCAAAACAAGTACAAGGTCTAAAACTGAATCGATTACTTTTCAAACAAAGTGAAACAACTCTTAATCCGCGTCAATCATTGTGTTGTTAAAACCCCTGTAATATAACACTATCAGTTTAGGAAAGCATTTGAGTTTTTGAAATTAACCGATCTTCCGGTGAAATGTGGTTGTTTCTTTGATTCCTTAAGGACCACCATTCTATAAACCATGAATCTGTTCAGTCTTATCAAGAAATGGGATTAAAAAATTGATTATTTTAAGCCAAGCAATACAAAGTTCATTTGAATCTAATTTTTGCGAATTGCAAAATATCAACAACATTCTCAGCTGCAACAATCGCGTTTCAATCTTATATCAACAATCACTTCATGAGAAAAAGTAAAAATTTGAAAAAATTCAAGACAAAATGTAGTCATTCACTACTGATCAACTTTGGTGCATCTGTCTTTACTCGCCGTGCGTCCACTCTCCTCCACCGTTGCCATTGCTTATCTGGAAGCTGGACAACTATTCGCCAGTTTCCATTTCTTTCGCTAAGTTTAAAAATCGACGCAGTGATATCACAAGGTTCGTTGAAACGCGAATATTTTGGGGGCCCTATCTGAGTTCACAGTGCACCGAATCGGATCCGCATTTGGAAAGAATGTGTGCCATTATCATGCATCCATTGTCTTCCCTATTTTCATATGATTGTTCTAAACACAGAGAGGTCTTTCAGCACTATTCATGGGACTATCAAGCTTTTCAATTGCTGTTACTATCGATCGGGGAATCCGTGTGCAGATTCTAAATGCCTGTAATGTTCCAAGGATATATACACACACACACGGATAGACATCCTTCACGAGTTGTTGTTATTTCTCTTGCACACGCATTACGAGTCACCTCCTTCAGAACATATACCTCCCTCCCTCCCTGACTATCAGAAGAATAAAAGGTTTAGGACATGGAACAAATTTTGTGCAGGTGCTTTGAGCCCAGATTAAATGCACCTGGGATGTGATAACGTTGCTCGTTTTGGGCTACTCATTTTCTCTTTTTCCACTTTGGTCAGAGGAACCTGAAATGAGGGATCGTTTTCCGAACATTGGTCAACTCTTTCAAAAGTTTTGATGAGTTTTTTCGGCGCTGAACACTCGCTACCTGATAGCTGTGGGTAGTTATGTGTGATCAGCAGAATTCTACTGTGCAATGAACCCGGAAATGCTAGGCTAGACACCACGAAGGCTTAACTCAGGTAATTTTCTTTGATATCATTATGTTCAATCCTCTAGTGCGTGCTCCGGTAAGTACTCAGTTTTTGTGGGTTTCGTATGATCTCAAGCCCCCGTAATATCAGTGATAAATGCCCCTCACCAGCCTGGAAATATTTAGTTAGCATCACGTACCAGTTGAATCATCTGTTTGAGGACCATCATCTGCGAGCAAATTTATACTCAATTTTCGAGATATCCGGTTCACACACCAGGCTGTGTATCTATCCACAAATCTTTCGTTCAGGTTGCTCTAGATTCTTCACACATTATTCTTTCCACGATGATTTCAAAATGTTCACCAGATGATGCTGGCAGTTAACACTAGAAAGAATTTGCAAAAACCAGAGCTTGCATCTTTAATAAAACAAACCGTTTTATCTTGCCCCATTGTTGATCAAGTAAATAACCGTATTCCGTTTTTGTGTATAACAAATACCCATTGGTTTGGAAAAATGTTGTAAGTCAATCAAAAACTGTTGATGCAGCTGCCCACTTCCGTGAACAGATCAAACTTACAAGGGTGAAGGATTTCACCCATTCATCTCATTGCAAAATTTCATATTCCAATTATGTTATATATAATATAAATATATATAGTTTGTGACATTATATCATCCAATTATATTAACCTGTAGATTGTGTCAGCTGTACCTTTTGGTAGGTATGCAAAGAGATTTGATTTCATCCAATGGCGAAAAGACAGAAAGCCTTGATGGGATTCAAATACATGCAAGGACGATTCTGGACATTGAATCTCATCCAGACTTCTCCAGTTTTTCGTAACTGAATGAAGTCAAAATCTGTCAACTGCTTGCAGTAATGCATCGGTCTAAATTTTCAATTTATGAAGCTTGAAACCTCAAACGGATTTTGCTAAAAGAAGGAAAGAATTAGATGGAGTAAAGGAAAAATCGAATAATATTTCCGTTGCATTACCATTTGTTAAATTAAGGAAGTATCAGGCCAGTAGCTTTAGCACAATATGTTTATAACGATCATACAATTTACCATAACCAATGAACGAAGCAGCGACGCAACCAAGACTACGGACTAACTTCTGGCAGAGAACTGACTGCGTCCATAAAGAGTCCCAATGGACGGAGAAAGTTGCAAAGAGCAATCGCACCTCAAAGCAACTCTCAAAGTGCGTATTTGACAATAAGCAATGTCCAACAGAGATATGAGGCACGTTAGACGGATACACGAAGAAAAATTGAGATTTATTAACCATAAAATACAGTCAGTGGGATTTGATTAAATTAAATATCCCTGTTAAATGTTTAATTTGCAATTACAATGATATCTAACAATCATGGACATCATCTTTCGACCATAAATCATCCAGCACACAAATTGGTTGAAGAGTAAACAATGTTGAACTTTCTTGAATACAGTCTGTCTATGACTGTGGTCTGATAACTGATGCACACAAGCACATTTTTTTCCAAAAACAGAAAAAGTATGATGTGCAAAGCAACAAAGCTATCTGAAGTAAAACAACTCGTGGCTTTTTAGCAAACAAATCGCTTTTGTTAAACGGTACTTGGAAACAGTATACGTCACGGGACTGACAGAGCAGTGTACCACCATATAATATAGTATCCGTAAATTAAAATTGTTCACAATATATATTGTTTGAGTATGATTTGTTTCATTGTATTTAATCCGGGGATTTCTAATTACGAAATTCATTGCCGCGCCTTACATACGTACAGAGTGGTAAACTCTACTCAAAGATGTTCTAAGCAAGTATATAGTGCAATAAATCTCCATGCGATGTGAGTTGCCCCAAACAGAAAAGAAAATCGTTTGTCGCGGTTAGGATCGTAGTTAGTTACTTATAGTTACTTATTTCTTTTTAGAATAAATAAATGAAAAATAATTGATAGGGAAAAGCGCACCTACACACAAAAGAGTTCGAGAGAGATCAAACCTGTCAGTAGGATGAACAAATGTGCCGTCAAAGGTTGCGGGAGAATGCGAGTGGCCAACCCTACGTTCAGAGTGCACCTGCAAGAGCGGTAGGAGAGTGCATATTCCGCTATCTACAATAGTGTCACATATTTACATAAAATGGTATACGGTCTTGTGATTGTCAGGTACGTTAGACATCTTCAAACTAGTCTGAAGCGGAATCTCCTGGCTATCATTCCCACGGTTTGTCACGGCTGTCTCTCTCTCTCTCTTATCAAAATCTTGATTTGCATTTGCACCATGCCTGCTGTCACCCCCGTTTACCCAATCGTATTTTTGCAAATCGCTCGAATTACAGTTGATCAAGAGGATGAACAAAAGCGAAAGACCTATGCGCGGTACTTGATGACGGACAAACGCCGCTGGTCTGCTGCAGATCTCGACCGGGATGGGATGCTCACCATTGACGAATACAACAGCTTTGTACATCCGGTGGACAAGCCTCACATGAGGGAGACAATTATCTCGGTAGGTGTATTGGTTCAGCTAATTATTCATGATTATTTTTTCACATGAGCCATTGCCATCGGTAGCTTTTGGTTTTATTTTGAAGATGAGGAAAAATAGGGAGAGAGAGAGAGCAACAGCCGTACAGTAAATAAGTGAGTATATTAATTTAACTAAAAAAAATGAACGAAAATATATGAAACGATTCCCAGTTAGGAATAGCCACTTTTTATCCCAGTAATATTGACACTGAAAGTTTCATACAGTATCACTAGACCAAAATAGTTTGATCAATAAATTAGCTATTTTTCAAACTAGTCTGAGATAAACCGTTTTTCTGTTTCTGACCAAGGTGTACATTTCCGGATCAGTCCGATGTGTCGGGTTCACTGAAACGCATCAGTCGAAAAATCATTTAGACCCAAACAATACTACATAACTGGGATTATAAAAGTAACACGTTTGCAGTAAATGTGCTCGTGGGCAAATTCAACGTTATATTGATGTGCATGAGCTTCTACGTTTCCAATTAATCCAGAAAGTATCTATCTCCCACTAAAACAATCATGTATATAAATTCTGCAAATAGTACCTGTTTGGTTCATCTAATAAGAGAAGCACATATATGGTAACGAGTTTCGATATTTACCATGCTATTTATTCATATTTCCCTGAGAAACGTGAGATATAAAAAGCCGTTTTCTGTGAGTATGACTTGATTGAAGGTGACAGAGTAAAAAATAAAGTAGCTTCACCCGATCTCCAGTAATGTCCATATGCCCAAAATTGTGATTCTCAACAGCTGATCTATTCTGAAGAGCGAAAGAGTGAAGTTGCAAATACCGGTTTACAAACGTTTGTGGGCCCAATAATGGAAAATCTACTGTTACCTTTGGCAGACGTAGTATGTATTGAGAAAGGACACCAAAATTAGAGTCGAGTAGACTAAAATTGATCGACGATTGCTCATCGTGAACGACTATTTTAAAGTTAGACATTTGCGGAGAGCTTGCAACTCTAATTCTGTAATTCCTTCGGGGTGACATAGTGTTTTGAGCATTTCGAATAATTGCAACCTCTGATTGAAAGATCGAACCGACTGCAAGTTATACAAAAGATGCCGACTACCACATGGCATCTAAATGTAACAAACTACACAAGTTTGCTAGAGAAACAGTAATCGTAATTGCGCATTTCCTTCTTTCTAATAATTAAGTGTATAACTGTGCAGTGAAGGTAGCCGTGACCAACCAAATGCCGGCTCAGGAAGTGGAAGAATAGAGAAAATAAGGGAAATTGTTTAACGACGACACGATTCAACCACGCGAATCTGAGCTTTAGCTTTTTCAATCACAGTTACATGGCCACCGAGATCTAGGTTTAATTCATGCCAGAAACAGCAATTTATCTGTGGTTGTTATTTTTTCAAATACCTTTGAACAATAACNACTGAGAATCTGGGTTCAGAATTGCAACTAGATGAAACTGCTTCAAAACTTTGCAGTTTATTTATTCAGAGATTGATGTCGGCACAGCCAAATCGGGATTCCAACCTTAAATTTCAAAAGTGGACCAGGGAAAACAATTGAAATTACCTTTGAATCACTCTCTAGCGCTGTCAAATGATAGTCTGTTTCTAGGACCGATTTCAGTTTTCCCATAAAGAAAACAATGGTCACACTACACCAAACCAATATTTGTAACACACAGAACTAGAATTGAAGCATTATCTAAAGTATGCCCATAAGATTAGACTAGAAGTTCATTGAAAAATTAGGAATAATCGAACCTTGGAGGCCTCAAACGGTTTTTGTTACCAATGATATCAAAATGATATAGTTACAACAATGGCATACACTTACGTCCTTTGCTTCAACGTATAGTAAATATGTGGGGATTTTCGAGCGGTTGCTGTAAGAAATACCCATAACGGAACTGATGCGTTTTCGGTCATCAGCCAAAACCTACTATCGCCGAAGGAGCATGGTTTCATTCCACAAATATTGCTTTGAAAAATATCAAACGACATTGCCAAATCTGAAGCCATTTCGTATTGAAGTATGTGCCATTCTATAAGTTTTATTTTATTCAAAAGGATTTTCGGTACTAAGAGGACAGAATTAATAGTAATAATCACAGAGAACTGGACTAAATGAAAACTTTAGTTTCTGGCGTTGGGCCATGACCCTGAATACAGATAGTCCGAAGACAGCCATGAATTTTGATTAGCTCAGTCTTATTGTGATGAATCATCAATTTCAGCAGATTTGGATTTCCAATGACGACTGACTGACTGTCTGAACTTGTCAAGCTATGAGTGATTGATGATGACTGTAATGCAGATAAGTGTGCAGTAACTGCTTTCGTGTATGGGGCAAAGTATTTAATCAGGATATACAAATAAATATGCTTAGAATTGCTCGTTTATTGTTTAGACACTGGACGAAAAATCTATAAGAAAGTTTCTGATAACCTAAAAGTTATTATCTCCGACGTACTTTCTTCATTTGAAATTTATCTCAGCCGTCTATCTATTCTGACAGTTGAAGATAGCGACTGAAGGTCACACTACTAATCTCGACAAGCTCTAACAGTGGACTATTTGAACACATGTTTTTATTGCACAAGCAAGCTTCTTCACAATTTAGTTCGCTGCGGTTGCTCCAGTCAAGGGCAGTTTCAATAAGAGGAAAATGTTTTTACTAACAAAACCTGATAAAGAATAAATTCAAAATTTCCAGCTCTAACGATCAATAAGTGTTTGATATCAAGATTATGGTGCACTTTTCCCGTGTGAAGTTTACCCCCGGTCAAGGACCCACCGTGAATGTAATCAAGATAAATTTTGTTTAAATTTCAATTTTGTAGCTGACGAATGATGAAAGTATGGCGCCTAAAAAAGTAAAAACTCGTAAACCTCAACGGTGGATAAGGAAATAATGCCAATGTAGGTTTTATACTAAACAAGTTTGTCTCACGTTGACATGATAATTTCACCCAAGACACATGCGCATTTATATCCTTTCAATGGTTTTGTTACAGTCACAAAATGAGGGAATAACAGCCAAATAATCTCATTCAAAACGATCCATACTATTCATCTATTCAGAAATCGAGGCTATAGATACCCAGTTACTTTGCACACCAAATACTTGTCATTTTGTACTTTATTTATCCACTTGCATTAGGTAAATTAGTACAGTTTTGAGCAAAGCAATATGGATGATTGCAAGGGAGAAAGCGACTTTTGAATTTACCAAAAGATAAGCAAATGGTCACACTTACCGGCGGATCTTTCTTCGTGTTACACTTTTTTATTGTCTGTTCTTGAAAACCCATCTTGTTCTACTTCGAACTGAACTGCTTGTTTGGCTGTCACATGCTTAAGCGTAAACTGTCAATCAATTAAACAGAGAATGATGCTAAATTGACAGGAAAATGGAACAATCATCATGATTATCATTACCGTCATCATTCGAGTCATCATCAATATCCTCCTAACCCAGGTACATGTGCAAATTGCCGATAGGTTCCTGCACTTCAAGAAAAATTCATCTTATTTCGGACGAGTGTTAAGAAGGTCAGTAAACTGAAAAGAAAAGAACAAAGTGTACGGTCTGGTATAAACAAACTCCTTTTTTCTCAATAGCACATTGAAAAGCTGCTGCCTTCAAATTATCCTCCATCGTAGACCACTTACCTTTCGAAGTGTGGGTGAGTGGTGTGTGTGTGTGTGTGTGAGAGAGAGGTGACAGGCATGAGAGATGTTCCAAGTCAAAAAATCTAGCAATATTTTGTAATACAAAACGAGAATATTCCACACCCTCAAGCCCTCAAAGTCTTCCCGAGAGGTTAGTGCTTATAGCGATTAAAAATATGAAATGTTTTGGCCATAGCCTTTCTTTGACTAACGTTGACTGTCACAAATGTCTCCCATGTTTTTCTGTGAGGTTTTAAGGACCACATCCATTGCGCAAAAGAGATTTCTTTGAGCGTTTGACAGCTTTTGTCTAACGACAGCCACATGCATTCTGAATAGCTAAGCGGTGTGTGTCAATGAAATTAACGGATAATGAATTAAAATCCCACAGTCCTATTTCAGTGTAAATTAATGACGCACAACCATTTGAGATTTCTTTGGAGTCAAATTTCTCTAGCAATGGGTATATTCAGTACCAATATTAGAATGATAAAAAGTGAAATATCTACAATGAATGCGTCGTAGCACCGACGCTTAAAGGTTCGTCAGCGATCCGTCAGAATACAGCTCGTCTTTAAGTCAAAGAAGGAGTTGGTAGCTTTATTGATTTGACGTGCAATCAATATACGATTGGTATTCACGAGGGTGTGCAAGAGCAATAAAAGTTTTCCACGAGCACCTTTGGACTGAGAGAACGGAATTACCGCGGTGAGATTTTAGTACGCAAAGTGCCAATTAAGGGACTGACAACCGAGAAAACTCGACTGGCGTGGTATATCGTATTATAGTTCTAATTCATTGAGCCATTTGAAAACGGCTTGTTTTCTCCTACAAATACATTTTCTATATGCCCGTAGAACTTCTTTCTAATATATATATATATATATCACATAAGTCTGAAACAGTGATGAAAACTTAATCTTCCAAGAAAGCATGTTCACAGACGCATCAGATTATCAGACGATAATTGCTGTTGTCACTGGAGTCCACATGAGTGAATTAGACATAAGATGACCCGCTGTTTCTTAATGATAGTGTTTCGAGGCTACTATTGCATCACCTTACTATGTTGCACAGGACACAGTTAGATCCTAAAGTTACAAATCCCTAATTACGCATATCAGACATCCGATAGACAGCTCTGGGGTGCGAAAATAAGTTGGCCCTCCTGCTGAGTCACATAAATGTCACATATCAAGTTATAAGTGCGTCTGAATTGGGAGAATTGAATTAAACTATTGGTAAATGGCAGTAGATAGTACAAGATGTTTTTCGACTGTGTAGGATAAAGATAACTTCTTTTTCTCTCGTTCTTGTTTTG